TTTATCATATTAGGTTTGGCAGCAATAGAGGGTTTTTTTTTTTTTAAAATTCAAGTTACAAACGTAGCTAGTGCAGTTAGCAATTTATTTAAGGATTAAAAATTGCAAAAAACGAATTTCTCCATTTACTGTAAATGAAGGTCAGGTTAATATAACCCAACACAGACTTCCCCCTTACATCAGAGTCTGCAGGGATACCCTTTACAGTACAAAGGGGAACTCTGCACTCTGACGTAAAAGGGAACACTGTGAACAGTGATATAAAGAAGAACTCTGTGGAGTCTGATGTAAGTGGGAATGCAATTCTGCATTTTTATTCCCATAGAAGTACATCGAAACACGCAAATTGTGCTTTTTCACAAGAGTGTTTTTCTGGCATGGCAATACATGACAACAATTAATGTCACATATTAAATTTTCTCTATTGGCTAATACAAAAAACGCCAGAACTGAAAACTCCTGAACAAATCATGCACAAACATCTGCAAATGTGCAGAAAAATGCACGACAAAACGTGCAAAAAACACATGCACAAAAATACTATGTTCAGATGTGAATGGAGCCGTAGTGTTTTTTGCATTTTTCAGAAACTCACTACAGTCCATTTAACATGGTTTCCTATGTGACATGTTCACATCTATTTGTTTTTAGTCGCTGCTTTTTTGGATAGGGTCAGGGACTTTTTTACAGCAGCAGTTTGGAATTCACATACAGTAGGTGTGAACCAGGCCTTATTGAATCGTGCAGCAGCTCGATTTATATTGGTTGTTTTTGTTTTCTCATGCAAAGCAATACACAAGTGTGTGCAAAGGTTTTATTCATTTTATTTTTGGTTTTATATTTCAACAAAGTATGGGAATTATGGCATCCCAAGAGGGACCCGCATTAGTGTGGAATTTTATGTCTAGAACTATTCTATTAGGATATCTGTGTTGAGTGCCTTGATTGGAGGGCCAAGGGACCAGGAATATTTTTTTCTTACCTTATTCTTCTTTTCTCACTTTACTACCTATTTGTTTTAACTCCTCATGCACACAGGACGTTTTGATAATGCTGGTAATGTTAGCTGTGTAAAGTCACGTTCTAACGTGATTTTTTCAGCTTTTTTTAGCGTTTTTCCATTGGTATTCTGCTGCGTTTTCCCACTTTTTTTTTTTGGTAAATACAAAATCCAAAAACACTGGTTTGCGGTGTTTTTCTGCATTTTTCAAGCGTTAGAGCGTTTTTACAGCTAAAAAACTCTAGGAACCCACTAGTCCTGGGGTTTTTTTCCAGCCAAAAAACGTTGATTACAGTCAGGGGCGGACTGAAAGCTCATGGGGCCCCCGGGCAATTGGGGATCATGGGGCCCCTGTGTCCTTGCCCACACTCAAAACACACCCAAAATAGCCTACAAAAGGTACCAGGGGCATTTTATGGGGCCCTCTACTGACCTCGGGCCCACGGGCAGTGCCCGAGTGCTCGAATGGTCGGTCCGCCCCTGATTACAGTCTATGTGCATGGACACATAGGATAATATGCTGGGGGGTTTACTGGCTGTAGAAAAAACCATCAAAAGCCAAAAACAGCAGCTGTAAAAACATCCAGTGTGCATGAGGACTTGGCATAAAAATGTTGTTGCTATAACTGTTTCACGCTTTAAGAGACTGTAATTGCCCTTTATTCTCCCAACCAACTTGGCATTCTATTGATAATAGTCTGTTTTTAGGTACAGCAGTTACGTAATGACACTAGAATCTACTTTGTATAAGGTTGTACACATGGGGCGGACTGAAACTCATGGGGCCCCCGGGCAATACGGGATCATGGGGCTCCTGTGTCCTTGCCCAAACTCAAAAAAGCCTATGAAAAAGGTACCAGGGGAGTGATGATCGCGGCGTCAGACCCCTGACCTCCTCACCAAACCTGTGACTGAAGGACTAGCCAATCTAAAACCACAATTTCACGTGCGTAACAATGCCATGCCCAGCTGCACCCTGCACAACGATTTTCCAGCTAATTGGACCACAATCGATGTACCGGCAGCCCGAGAGTGATTGTTATTGGGTCAGGTTAATTACGCAATTAACCCTTCACACTGCCACCACCTCCTTTTTGTACAGAGAAAGAGGAAATTCGGCGGTATCTGCTATAACACTATAATGGTTGAGATAATCATCTGTATAACACGGTCACCGCAGGCCAGTTATACAGAGGGCTAAACAAACACAGTAGTGCTCTTTTTAGAGGCAGGAATTTGTAGGTTGCAATAAAGAGCTATAGAAACAGTTCAACACTTTCAGAAGGAAAGATTTATTACTAAAAGGTCAAAAGGGTGCAATAAAAATATTTACAGAAAAAAGATGTAACCAATATATATATAAATATACAGAGAACAACAGAACAGCAAAGAGATAACAGAGAGAAGTTAGAGTAGTAAAGTACTTGCCAAAGTTCTAGGTTAGCAGATCAAGTTTCAGAGCGAAAGGGCACGGGTCTCCCCAGGTGGTTCTGATGTTAAAAGAATTCTTCAACTTCCCTTTCTTAGGCCTGACAACCCATTTTGTAGTTTCCCAGCAGGGGGTGTCTCTGAAGTCAAGGACCAATACCCCGTTTAGGGAGGGATCGTCTGGGCGTAGACCTAAGCTAGAGCCAAAATCTTGTAGTTCATATTTTGGCTCATAACTTTCCCTATGCGCAAGTGACATTCCACCCACGGGTAGATTAATTTGCAGACACACCTGTGGAACGGGCAGATATGAAATATGAAATATATATTTGAAGGGTTCCAGAGATGTAATTTTCTGCTTTCCTAGGTATTCCAGTCAGGGAGTGTGACCTATCAAACTGTTTGTCTCCTTGTGGCCAATCTGAAGATATGCCTGGTTTTTATGTAAGTCTCTCATATTCCAAGATATGAGACATAGGGGAAAATGGATTTTAAAAGTGTTATCTGGTTCGTGCTTCTCTGGAATGTCTCTGAACTCCTGGGAAGGCTTGTGTTATCTTTTACAACGTGCTAGATTGCACAGCTCTCTTAGACAACCAGGCGCTTCAGCTCAAAAATGTTTTATAGCTCTGGGGCTCCCTGCAGTGCCCTGGTCGGCTTGTGACACTTTTTAACACACAGGCCATATGTCAATGTGTATGAACAGGGAGGAAGGGGGAGAATGATGGGACAAAATGGAGATTTCTTAACAAAATGGAGCGCTGCGTCCTTCACTGTGTGTACACTTGTTACAAGGGGCATCTCATGGGGCCCCCTACTGACCCCGGGCCCTCGGGGAGCTCCCGAGTTTCCAAATGGTCAGTCCGCCCCATATTTGGGTAATTCTTTTTTTTTATATTACTGCCTTCACAGCAAGGAGCACATGGAAGGTTGACGCATGTCAAACAACAAAAAAGAAGAATTCCCAGCTCAGCTTACCAACCAGCCTGCAAACAAACCAGATTAGCCTGTCTAACAGTATACATTAAAAACAGGGGTTTAGTTAGCACACATTTGCAAATACATGCATAAGCTACAGAGCCTCGTCACTGCACCCCGATATTCTGTAGTCCTAACTCTACAAATTTTGAATATCAGAGCGCTATGACGAGGCTCTGTAGCTTACGCATGTATCAGTGTCCACTATAGTGATTCTCTGTTTCCACAGTGGTCCATCAGGTATGACACAAGCTGGACAAATGAAACTTTACAATAAATCCATACCTGGAGTTCAGCTTTAGGGAGAATATAGCATTGGCAGCACAGTGTCTAAATGGTTAGTACTTCCGCCTGGCAGTACTAGAGTCATTGGCTCATATCCTAACCATGGAACCACCTGCCTGGAGTTTACATTTTTTCTCTATGCCTGCGTGGATTTCCTCCAGGTATTCCGGTTTCCTCCAACACTCCAAAGACATGTCGGTAGGTTAATTGGATCCTAAGTAAGTTAGGGACCTTAGATTGTATGTTTCACGAGTGTTAGGGACTCATGTGAATGTATAATATATATTTGTAAAGCGCTGCGTGAATTGATGGTGCTGTACAAGTACCTGTAATAAATAAATACTGCAAAATAAATTTGAGTATTGTTTTATACCTTCATAAGTGTTTTCTTACCCTGGTGAAAACATAACAGATATTGGGGTGTATTTATAATACAAAACATGCATTGTTATTCTGCCAGCAAAATTGCATGTGTATTTCCTTCTCAAAGAGGGATTCTTTAAAATACCACATATGACAACTAGATGGAGCTGAGGATCACAGGAAATATATCCTAGTAGGAAGAGACACAATGTAAAACTTGTAATAAAAGCTGGAAGGAATTGTAAATAAATGTACCCATTGTTAATACAAGATCCCCATCCATTCCATTCTTTCCATTAAATGATAACATTGCAACTCTTCTAGGATGTATTTCCTATGATCCTTAGTTCCATCTAGTGGACACAATATAGTATTTTCATGGTTGGCTCTATGTTCATTATGACTGAAACTATCTTTACCACTGCCCATAATATTTGAAGAATATTTGAAGAACCAGCAGAGAAAATATCATAAGAACGTTCACTTTTGCCTCATTCTCACAATAGGTGGTGTACAGAACAAATGTACATGCAGCTTTGCTGTGCAATTTGATTTATAAACAGACACCCTAGGCACAGCATTTTTTTATTATTATTCTACTTTTTATTTTGACCACAAACATGTCTCATTATAATAATATAGGAAACTGTATCAGTTGTGAAAAAAAAAACATTCTTCCCATTACCATCCCAACTGCTATGTCAGATATTTTGCACATTTTTCACACTTACTAAAGAATCAAATCATTTAATATTTATTGTTTTGTTGTACAAAGTAAATATTTAATTTGTTTTTTTTTTTTCCAGATATTACTGCAGACATGCTTTCCATGGACCCTGTAACATTTCTTGTATCCATTGTTGTCATCCTTTTCTTGGCCAAAGTGTACAAAAACCAGAAGGAGCACAAAAGCAAAAACTTCCCTCCAGGACCCAGACCTTTACCCCTCATTGGAAGTATGCATCTAATGGACCTGAAGAAACCATATGAATCCTTTATAGAGGTAATATTCTACTTATCCTTGAGGTTTAAGGGGTCCATTTATACTAAATGTTTTCCTTTTATCCTGTACAGGAGTGGACTGACAACTCATGGGGCCCTCGGGCAATAGGGGATCATGGGGCCTGTGTCCTTGCCCAAACTCAAAAAAGCCTATGAAAAAGGTACCAGGGGCATCTCATGGGGCCCCCTACTGACCCTGGGCCCTCGGGCAGTGCCCGAGTTTCCAAATGGTCAGTCTGCCCCTGATCCTGTCTAATGTGATTTTTTTCCTATGATACTCAGCTACATCTAGTGACCATAATTTAGTATTTTCAAGATTGGGGTACTTCAGGAAAAATACCACATTATGAGCACTAGAGAAGGTTTACATTCAAAAGAAATAGTATTAGACAAAATATTTATTTTATTTTAGGTACTTATATAGTTCCATCAATTTATACAGCGCTTTACATATATATTGTACATTCACATCAGTCCCTAACCCTCAATGGGCATACAATCTAAGGTCCCTAACTCACATTCATACATACAAATACTAGGGACAATTTAGACAAGAGCCAAATCACCTACTAGCATGTCTTTGGAGTGTGGGAGGAAACCCGAGTACCCAGAGGAAACCCACACGGACACAGGGAGAACATGCAAACTCCAGGCAGGCGGTACTGTGGTTCACATTCAAACCAACAACCCTAGTACTGCCAGGTGGAAGAGCTAACCATTTAGCCACTGTGCTGCCCACAAATATGTGGAAAATCATTATGGCTGAATGAATGCTTAGACATTCATTCAGTGATTTAAAAAAAAAAAAAATAGACCCCTTGGTGTTTGTTGCATAAAATTCTTATGTATATGATCCAAACACCTTCTGATTCTTGACTTAACCAGTTATTCACTGCCCGCAGTATGTATACTGCGGGTGGGCAGCAGCTACAGGCTAAGTGATGGTCCTGTACGTCACTTAGCATATGCACACACTGCAGATTGTGGCTCCCAATTCCTGGCTGGTTTGATATCCAGCTGATCATCTGTTTCCTAAAACCACTAATGATCTGAGCTCAGCAATGATAATCAGGATCGCCGCTGATCTCAGTTTCATAAAAGGACACCCAAGTCAGGAAGACTATAAATAGGCAGATCTGAATCACTGATTACAAAAAAGACATTGTGAGGTAGCTTTACTAAAAGTGATTCACTCAGAATTTGATGCTGCTGTACATGGTAGCCAATCAGCTCCTAACTTCAGCTTGTTCAGTTAAACTTTGACAATAAAACATGGTACCTGATTGGTTTCTTTGCAGATCTGCATCAGATTTTGCAATCTCCAGTTTTAGTAGCACAACCCTAGTATGTTTCTGTTTTTATCAACAAAAGCCCACCTTTTCACATTTTTTTATATATTTTATGTAAACGTCCATGTCAAAGAGGCTATAAGTCACCCAATCAGCAACTAGTTAGTGCTGCACCTGCTTGCTAATGCTGCAACTGTGGAAATGTCATGAAATGTGACATGAAAGAACTAGGCATAAACTGCAATAGTTAAGATAAACACTCAAAACTGATGCATATACAGTGCTGATGAAGCTCTTAAAAAATAAAATAGCCATTACTTGGACTGATGTAGGTTAGCCATTTATAGACAGTTCATCTGATTAACTCCATGTCTTTTTCTCTGATGTCCTTGCAGTTGTCCAAGCAGTATGGTCCAGTATACACCCTCCATTTAGGGATGTCTAAGATGATTATCCTGTGTGGATATGATGCTGTAAAAGAAGCTCTAATCAACTACGCAAATGAATTTGCTGACAGACCGAAAAGCCCGTTGTTTTATAAGCTCCAAAAGGATCACGGTAAATCTTTCTTTGTTTCTTGATTAATGGCTGCCCACCCCCCCCCCGAAGGAGCTGCTGGTTAAGATAGGCTTTCTGTTGCTGGCCTCGACCTCTTCAAAGACCTTCATCCCTCTGATACCCCAGGATACCCCAGTATCCAGCAATAATGCTGTTTCAAAAAACAGGCACCAAATCAATCAGTAAGGGCAAATCTAAAGTGTTATTAAACCCAGGACCCTACATTCACTATATCCGGTCTCCCAGGACCCTGCATTCACTATATCTGATCTCCCACAGCACACACAACATGGGAATGAAATTATTTTAGTAAATATAAACTGTTAAATACCTTTTCCCATCAGCAGTATATTGCAGTCTTGTGACTTCTATCAGTGTCCAGTTGAGCACTGGTTACAGCTTGTAGGAGGAGTTTTCATCCTCCTCTCACTTCCCTATGAGATTGCATAACCCCTGACCCTCTGTCTGGACAGCACTGATTGGCCCTTGGCTGATCACATGCACCCTCCCAAGAAAAAGAAAAAAAACTCTCTAGCAGTACACACCAAACTGACCATGTGCAGAGTGTCCCCAAGGCTGTTTTCTATCTGGAGATGAAATGGGTAACATGGAAGAAGGGGAGGAACAGAGAAGACAGAATCAAAATTCTTTTTACACAATGCAGAGGATTAACCCCTTAAGTTTCACAGTGACTATAACTAGCATGCTTTACTGCATATACAGACTGATTTTACTGTTGTGCATATAGTAACACTTTAATATATTAATACCCAAAGAGTTAGCGATGAGGCAAGCAAAGAAAAATAGTAAAATTTAATAGCAATGGTAATAACAGACTTTAGTATACAGAGTAATTAGCAATAAGGACAGTGACACTTGCGGTCCAGCTCACCATAAACAGGAACAAGGCCACCTGAAGTGCTTCAGTGAGCAGTAATAAGACTGGAACTATAAACCACTGGAGGTATACTGCCAGAGGGCACTACTGGTGGGTATACTAGACTTAAGACTGTCTGGTGAACACCCTCAGTATTTGAGAAGACCAGAATGGGTATTTGGGGGCAGAGGGAATTTCCAGAAGAATATGTGATAGAGACAGTCCTTTAGATGTTTCTTCTGCTGGCTATCGTTGGGGCCCTTTAAGAAGCATTGGTACACTTAACGACAGACTTAATGACCCTGCATGCAGTAAAGGAATGAAGAGTAGATGTGGGTCAAAGCAGTGTCAGTTCAGTATAACGGTGGTATAGGGTTGGTATGGGTGCAGTATAGCATTGGTAGAGGTGCTGTGTAGAGTTGGTATAGATGAAGAATGTGCAGGGTGCAGTTGGTGTCCTGCTCTCAGCAACTCATTCTCTGTTAGCAGTGTTAGCAATGAGGAGGTAGCCCTCTCACTGGTCCCTAGAATACGGCTGCAGACATTCACAGTGGAACGGGCCCCCTCAGCCTCTATCTGAAACCTCCAAAAAACAGCGGTGGGAACTCATGGCAGATGAATGCTCCAATACCCTGGTGGCAGTGGTGCAGGTGCTGATGGTGTGGCGGAATTTCCCCTGCAACAGACGCCCTCAATCACAGAATCAGGTCCCCTCTGGCCAAACTTCCAGTGGACCAAGAGCACTAAGGCAGAGGTCCTCTCTCTTCCAGACACTGGGTTCCAAAAGCCCTGAATGTTCTCAGGCAGCATAACAATTCTTCCTTAACTCCTCCTGTCCCATAGTTTAGTGGAATTTGTAGTTTAACAGCCATCCTACACAGTGCAGTGACCTGTCCACAAAACTACATGTCCCAATGTGCACTGCAGCTGCTGTGTCCTCCTCCTGCTGCTGCTCATTGGCTGAGCGGCAGGTGCCAGGAGGGAGCAGGGGATTTAGGAGAGGTTTCACAGAAACACATGCCACCTGTTTCTGCTGCAGTCTGCCCTCCATGCATTGATAACAGGAATTCTGTCTTACCCTAGGTTCACACCTAAGCACTTTCTGCAGCGTTTTGCATTTTGCAGAAATGCACTACAATCCATTTAACATGATTTCCTATGAGACATGTTCACATCTCTGCGTTTCACCCGGAGCATGCTGCAGAGAAGAATGTTGTGTGTTTTTGACATATGTTTGATGCATTTTGCATTTTAATCTGCCTAGCAACAAGAACAAAAATGCAAAATGCATCAAAAACATAAAAAACCATCTCAAAAAGCACATTGAAGCTCACAGGTCAGTAACAGTTGGATGTTTGATACTAGTCTGAGCCGATTTTCAATGGTCTGTAATTAGGGAGCAATGTGAACAGCTGACAGGAGAACCAATCCTGCCTGCCTTCATTGACCTTAGGTTCACACCTAAGTGTTTTCTGCAGCGTTTTGCAGAAATGCAGTACAGTCCATTTAACATGATTTCCTATGGGACATGTTCACACCTGTGTGTTTTCACCAGGTGAATTTTTGAACGCAAAAAGTTGCATTTTTGGTCCTATAGATTTCAATGAAAACACTGCAGATAAGCATGCATTGTGCTTTTACTGTGTTTTTGCTGCATTTTGGATGCATTTTGTGTTCTAAATCTGCCTAATGACAAAAAAAACATAAAACGTATCAAAAATGCAACAAATAAATGTTATGGCTGAACTGGCTCCCCTTGCCTTCCGGGCACTTAAACCCCCTTCTTTACCAGGCCAATTTTCAGCTTTCAGCGCTGTCGCAATTTGATTGACAATTGTGCGGTCATGCAAGATTGTACTCATATGAAATTTTTATAATTTTTTTCTCACAAATAGAGCTTTCTTTTGGTGGTATTTACTCGTCACTGGGTTTTTACTTTTTGCGCTATAAACAAAAAAAAATTGCAAAAAAATTGAAAAAAAAAAAAAACAAGTTTCTGTTATAATAACATTTTGCAAACAGGTAATTTTTCTCTTTCACTGATGTGCGTTGATGAGGCTGCACTGATGGGCACTGATAGGCAGCACTAATGGGCACTGATAGGCAGCACTGAATGACACTGATAGGCGGCACTAATGAGGTGACACGGATAGGTGGCACTGATAGGTTGCACTGATAGGCAGCACTGATGATGGGTACTGATAGACAGCACTGATAGGTGGCAGTGACTGGCATCACTGCTGGGCACTGACTGGCGGCACTGCTAGGTATTGACTGGCGGCACTGTTAGCAGGGGCGGACTGACAACTCATGGGGCCCCCCCGGCAATAGGGGATCATGGGGCCCCTGTGTCCTTACCCACACTCAAAAAAGCCTATAAAAAAGGTACCAGGGGCATTTCATGGGGTCCCCTACTGACCCCAGGCCCTCGGGCAGTGCCAGAGTGCTCGAATGGTCAGTCCACCCCTGACTGTTAGGCATTGACTGGCACAACTGCTGGGCACTGACTGGCACAACCGCTGGGCACTGACTGGTGGCACTGAATGGCAGCACTGCTAGGCTGCACTGAAGGGCACTGGTGGGTGGCACTGGTGGGCACAGGTGGGTGGCACTGGTGGGCACATGCAGGAAGGCACAGGTGGGTGGCACTGCTGGGCACAGATAGGTGGCACTTCTGGATGGCACTGCTGGTCACAGGTGTGTGACACTGCTGGGTGGCACTGGTGGGCACTGCTGGGCACAGGTGGTTACACTGCTGGGCACAGGTGGGCGGAACTGGTAGGTGGCACTGCTGGGCACCGATCATCAGGGCACTGATCATCAGTGCTCTGATGATCGGTGCTGATCCCTGCTCTAACAACTGCCGGTTCTCGGCAGTACTTTCCTCACGATCTCACAGCGTGAGGAAAGTGCAGACGAGAACCGGCAATTGCATTTCCCTGTGATCAGCGTGTCATTGGACATGGCTGATCACGTGATAAAAGGCCGCTGTGATTGGCCTTTACCACATCACATGATCAGCTGTGTCCTTAGGACACAACGATCACGGAAATCGACGAGTGTGCGCCCCCGGGGGCGCGCAGGAGAGCGCGTTCTGGGAGGACGTCATATGATGCCCCGCCAGAACTGGCCAGCCGCAGTGTAGCCGTCATTCGGCTATCTGCGGTCGTCGGCAACTGGTTAATGCTTCCCTAGACACTAGAGAATGCTGAATTCTCATTGTTCAGCCTTCACATTTTAGCTTTAAGTCATCTTAAAGCTGAACTCCAGGCACAAAAACTTTAATTTATATAAATTGCACAATAGCCTCAAAGAACTTAAAGGATAAAGTTCACCTTTGGGAACATGTTACATGTTCCACCTGTTTTAGGGTGGAACATGTAACATGTTTCCATAGCTACAGCTGTGCCCCCCCCACCCCCTCCCCCTCCCGAAAAAGTCTCCCTGTGCTATCTGTCAATTTTGAAAACAGCACGGTCGTGCGGGGCTCCGGCCACACAGCCACGTATGAATGAATGAACTGCAAGTCCAGACAGCCCCAGCGGCTGTGGGCTTGTAGTTTTCGATTGACTACTATGGCGCTTGTGAATTGTTCATTGAAGCTTCGTGTCAGAATATCTGCTTGCTCATACATTCTATACGGCAAGCAGATATCCTGACAGGTCTGCAGGAGACCTGCATGGCATCAGCGATCTACTGATCTCTGGTGCAATGCTTTACAGGCTTCTCTGGACAAAAATAATAAATGCACATTTATTACCTGCAAAAAAATGTGCATTTATTATTTTTGTCCAAAAGGTGAACTTATCCTTTAAATTCACTTTGTGCCCACCACATGCCTTTGCAAACACGGGAATTGCATTGTAAATGTAGCAGTGACATCATCACTGTGCTGTGCATAGCCTGCACAGAGAGCAGAGCTGTGGGAGGGGCCCAACAGGTCCACCCACTACAGGCTGCCTTCAGAAAACTACAGAAGGGGGTGGAGACAAGACCAGTCACCCTGCATAAGGAAAAAGAGTAGCACTGATTGGTAGAGATGTGCACGACGAAAAAAAATGTTTTTCTTTTTATTCATTTGTTAAGTAAATTATTTTGTTTTCTCATACTCATTATGTTAGAATAATTCATTTTCAGAATTAATTTTGTATATTCAGATACAGATTGTTACATACATTCATTGTTCCGAATCAATTCGTATTTTCAGAAGTTATTACAGAACATTGGCTATGTTCATTTTAACATGTTAATTCGTTATTTTGGGAAATTACTTATGCACTCTGAGTCATCCCCGCTAGTCCAACCCACAAAAAGAAATAGAATGAGCCGATTGGACGATATTGACTGGAGTCACGTGCATCCGAAAGAATGTATGGAACAAAAATAATTTCAGATTTATTCCTTATGATATGATTCAGAGATTCTGATGGATCCACCTCCATCCAACCCAAACACAAAAAAGGACGAATCACTTACTTCACTTTTATACCTTACTGCATTTATTGCAATATGTTTCCATTTCAAATGTAGTGTATTTTTTCAAATACTGAAAAATGTTAATACAAAATTAAATTGAAATGGATCTGAATCAATTCGGGTCATTCGTTGTATTCTTATTTCAGATGCTTCTGTAAGAGTGTGACGCATGGATTAATACTGGTGTGTAATGTTAAACTGCAATATGCTCTTTGGTCAGTAGATGGCAGCAAAGTACAAGAATCGATTTTGTAGTGACTTTTGCTAAGACAAGATAAATGCTTATTTACCCTATAAAGTTTAATGAATACTAATTTAGGGGCCGAGTAGGACCCTCAGAAGGGTCATAGTGAACTGTAAATGCAGGTTTGAGGCTGCCAATTAAGAAATTACTTACTGCATCACAAACTCTATGGGAAGGGGAGGAGTTCCTGTGCTGAGGAGGAAGTGGAGTCTGGATCTGGCTGATGGATGCTGAGGACATCTGGAGAATCTGTGTGGGGCCTGGAAGAGGATTTACGGCTCACAGTGGAATCTGGCGAGGGCACCTAAGGCAGATCCACAACGAGACCAGGAAACAAGTGACTGTATGGTCCGGTTCCGGAGTGGGTCAGGAGAAAGCACCAAGAGCCTGCCAGGGAAAACCGTAAGTGCGGCTTTGCCGCAGCACATCACACCACACGTGGTCAGTGACATTTTGGATATACCAGAAAGTTACAAGAGACACACTCCACTTTCCTTCGGGTTACAAATAGTATTGCGCAATACTTAGGGTGCACCCCAACGTTATATCTTGCTCAGGAACATTCAGGCGCAGCCAGGCTGCTTTCTGGACATTGGGGAAAAGTCCGCAAGTACGGGGTTAGTGTTAGACAGTATTATTCTTACTGTATGGTTATGCACTGTTATCATTCTGTTCACGTATGCTCAACTACATGATCACTATAACTGGTCAGTAAACGTAATTGTTTTAAAAGAACAGCTGTCTGTGTCTGTGTAGCATCGTGTACCCTCTGAATCTGTGGGCCCAGCCCTCGGTTTTCCTTCACTTCAAACATTAACAAAAGGCCCAAACAATGGCATCATGCCATCCGAATGAAACTAATGAATATGAATTAATTAGTAGTTTCGTTATAATTTATTCTGAATTTGTTACTATTTCGATGCATCTAAATCTCCAAATAATGAAAATTAAATCTGAATTTTGATTTGTAATGAAATTAATCATACATATCTACTGATTGGATTTCATTACAGGAAACTCTTGCAAAAGAGCAAAGTTTAATGTTGGATCATCCACAAGGTAACCTAGTCAGGAGCCTCGGGCCCAATGGATGCTCAGGGGCCCAACTAAAATATGATACTCCTGCAGCAAACCAGGAGGATGCTGCAGTTGGTCAAAGTTGTGTACCTGTTTGTCACTTCACAAGGGAAGATGTAGGCAGCTGTTGACTAATGGGGCAGGCCATGTCTATTTGCAATCCTTATCAAAGTCAATGAAAGAGATGTTATCTCTATGGCAGGAGGTGAAAGATAATATCCAAAATGGGATGCAAATAGCAAAAAAAAATAAATAATAATAATAATAAATAAATAATACAGGTTCTTTAGCCCTTACTACTTAAACCAAGATTTAAAAAAGGCTCCAGATTTAAGTACACGTTAAATAATATTTTTTTTACAAATTATTTAAAGTCAAATTCCAGCCAAAGCCTGACTACTTTGAAAAATGTTTGCTCCCCCCTCCTAACCCCTACATTTAATGACCTGTGTAAGAAAGATGTGCATACCTATTTCCAGGACCCTGCAGTCTGGTCACGTGATCCAGCTCCTCTCTATACAGGGGAGAGGAGAAAGTGGTGACAATGGATGGGCCATAGGAGCCTATGAGCAACATCAATGCTCCCAAGCATTACCATCCATTGTCAAGTGATCTCTTCTCTCCCCTGCAGCCAGGTCTGGCTGACACAAGAGAGGTCACGTCACCAGACCAGAGCGCCCTGAAAATAGGTAAGTAAATATATATTTCTTATACAACATCACTTGCAAAGTAAACTGCCTATTTGCCCTTAGCAATTCAACCCCACTGTGTATATGTTGGCACTGTTTATATTTTTGATACAGCAGCTATCGTGTGACAGTATGTTAGATAGGGCATTACAGTGTTTTTTACAATCTGTATACAGGGGATTATTTATCAAAGATTCACTGAGCAATTTCCTAATTAATAATTAATAGGCATTAATAGGCATCCTCCCAAGTGAGATTTGATGGAATTTACCATCCTAGCTCGCCATAATGCTGAAACTGTGACCTTTCACTATTGAACATCAGATGTTCCTGAATGTCAGGAAATGTTATTTTCACTCTGTGAATCTTGGTCAAATCATGTGCTAACTTTTCCTAATTTGGCTTGATATGCTGAGTGAATTTTATGAAAATTCCGGGCAATATTATAATTAAAATACAGTTAAAATATTTGTTTTTACATATATTTATGGTTTCACAGGTATAGGTGTAAGACGTTTAAATATATTTCCAGTACATTTTGTAAATAGCATACTTTGTCTATCAGGAGTCGTCTTTTCCAATGGTGAAAGCTGGAAGGCCATGAGAAGATTCACTCTATCAACTCTACGAGATTATGGAATGGGGAAGAAAGGTATAGAAGACAAGATTAATGAGGAAGCTGAATGCTTAGTGCAAACCTTTAGATCCTATGGAGGTAAGATGGTATTCTTGCAGCCTTCTAATTTCAACAGTCATATATATATACAGTGTATATGTATATATATATATATATATATATATATATATATATATACAGTTGCAAGAAAAAGTATGTGAACCCCTTGGGATTACGTGGAGTTTTGCATGAATTGGTCATAAAATGTGTTCTGAACGTCATCTAAGTCACAACAATAGAACACAGTCTGCTGAACATAATACTACACAAACATTAGATGTTGCCATGGTTTAATTGCACATAACATGTAAACATTTACAGTGCAGGGAGGAAAAAGTATGTGAACCTTTGGACTTAATAACTGCTTGACCCTCCTTTGGCAGCAATAACCTCAACCAAACGTTTCCTGTAGTTGCAGATCAGACCTGCACAACGATCTGGAGTAATTTTGTACCACTCCTCTTCACAAAACTGTTTCAGTGTATCAATATTCTTGGGATGTCTGGTGTGAATTGCTCTCTTAAGGTCATGCCACAGCATTTCAATCGGGTTGAGGTCAGGACTCTGACTGGGCCACTCCAGAAGGCGTATTCTGTGCTGTTGCAGCCATTGTTTTGTTGAATTACTTGTATGCTTTGGGTCATTGTCCTGTTGCATCACCCATCCTCTGTGGAGCTTCAGTTGGCGGACAGATGGTCGTATGTTTTCTATGGGGTTCAGGTCAGGCGAGTTTGCTGGCCAATCAAGCCCATGGTCATTGAACCAGGTTTTGGTGCTTTTGGCAGTGTGGGCAGGTGCCAAGTCCTGCTGGAAAATGAAGTCAGCATCCCCATAAAGCTCATCTGTGGAAGGAAGCATGAAGTGCTCCAAAATCTCCTGGTAGACAGCTGCGTTGACCCTGAACTTAGTGAGATACAGTGGACCAACACCAGCAGATGACATGGCTCCCCAATCAACACAGACTGTGGAAACTTCACACTGGACTTTAAGCATCTTGCAGTGTGTGCCTCTCCATTCTTCCTCCATACTCTGGGTCCTTGGTTTCCAAATGAGATGCAAACGTTGCTCTCATCAGAAAAGAGGACTTTGGACCACTGAGCAACAGACCAGGTCTGTTTTTCTTTAGCCCAGGTAAGACACTTCTGAAGTTTTTTTGTTGTTCAGGAGTGGCCTCTTGACAAGAGGAATACAACATTTGAAGCCCATGTCCAGGATCCGTCTGTGTGTTGTAGCTCTTGATGCACTGACTCCAGCCTCAGTCCACTCCTTGTGAAAGTCCCCAAAACTTTTGAATGGCCTTTTCTTGACAATCCTCTCCAGGCTGCAGTCATCCCTGCTGCTTGTGCACCTATTTCTTCCACACTTTTCCCTTCCACATAACTTTCTATTAATGTGCTTTGATACAGCACTTTGGGAACATCCAACTTCTTTTGCAATTACCTTTTGAGGCTTTCCCTCCTTATGGAGGGGTCCAATGATGGTTTTCTGCACAACTGTCAGGTCAGCAGTCTTTCCCATGATTGTGATTCCTACTGAACTAAACTGAGAGACCATTTAAAGGCTCAGGAACCCTTTGCAGGTGTTATGGCTTAATTAGCTGATTAGAGTGATAAACTTTGAGCCTAGAATATTGCACCTTTTCACAATATTCTAATTTCCTGAGATCTTTAGCTGGCACTCTGGGATTCTTCTTTACCTCGTGCAGCATTCTGCGCTGTGCTCTTGCAGTCATTTTTACAGGACGACCACGCCTAGGAAGAGTAGCAACAGTGCTAAACTTTCTCCATTTGTAGACAGTCTGTCTTACTGTGAACACATGAACATCAAGGCTTTTAGAGATACTTTTGTAACCTTTTCCAGCTTCATGCAAGTCAACAATTCTTGATCGTAGGTCTTCCGTGAGCTCTTTTCTTCCAGACATGGTTCACATCAGACGGTGCTTCTTGAAACCAGTAAACCCAAAACAGGTGTGTGTTTTTTTAAGGGCAGGACAGCTGTCATCAACACATCCAATATCATCACACTGATTGGAGTCAAGGTTGGCTCACTCCTGGCCCCAATTAGCTCTGGGAGAAGTCATTAAGCTAGGGCCTCACATACTTTTTGCTCCCTGCATTGTGAATGTTTATATGTTATGTGCAATTAAACCATGGCAACATCTAATGTTTGTGTAGTATTATGTTCAGCATACTGTGTTCTTCTATTGTTGTGACTTAGATGACGTTCAGAGCAGGGGCGGACTGACTATTTGGAAACTTGGGCCCCATGAGATGCCCCTGGTACATTTTTTCATAGGCTTTTTGGAGTTTGGGCAAGGACATAGGGGCCCCATGATCCCCTATTGCCCGGGGGCCCCATGAGTTGTCAGTCCACTCCTGCTAGTACTCGTATCATTAATACACTATAACCAGATCATTAATGATGCCATCACAAAGTATTATAGATTAGCACAGGTGAGAGGATGTAGATTTGACTCAACACAGTTCCCTGAACTTAACTCCTCGTAGATAGAATAAGAGTGTAATATGCATCCTTTTTACCAAAATGTTGGTTTTTACATAGTATGCATGTACTGTGTGTGCACTTTCAGGGGCGGACTGACCATTCAAGCACTCGGGCACAGCAGGGGGCCCCATAAAATGCCCCTGGTACCTTTTTATAGACTTTTTTGGGTGTGTTTTGAATGTGGGCAAGGACACAGGGCCCCATCATCTCCAATTGCCCAGGGGCCCCATGAGTTGTCAGTCTACCCCTGTGCACTTTACACTGTGGCACCTATCACTAAAAACATTGCCTGGGTGAGCGCAGGGGTTTTACCAGTGGAGAAACTTGACCCCAGTGTACAAGATCGAAATCAATACTACATTACATGATGTACTGGATTGGAAGGATTCAGGCCTTCTTCACACCATACTTGCTTGAAAACTGATGGAAAAAATGGGCAGATTTCACTTGCAGAGACAAGAGTTTATATCAGTTTTCATGCGCCTTTCAGTCAATTTTTATACACATCAACATCAATTTTAGCCCTCGTGCACACTTGACGTTTTGATAATGCTGGTAACATTAGCTGTGTAAAGTCGTGAGTTTTTCCTGCTTTTTTTAGCGTTTAGGGGCGTTTTTCTGTGTTTGTGGCTTTTAGCAGGTTTTTTTGGTCAAAAAACATCCAAAAAAAGCCGGTTTGCGGCATTTTACCACATTTTGCCATGTTTTTCAGTGTTTTTACAGTATTTTTACAGCTAAAAAACTCCTCTATAAACCCACTAGTCCTGGGTTTTTTTCCAGCCAAAAAACGTCTCAGACAAAAATCATTGATTACAGTCTTTGTGTGCATGGACACATAGGATAACATGCTGGGGGGTTTGCTAGCTGTAGAAAAAAATTCCAAAAGCAAAAAACAGAAGCTGTAAAAACATCAAGTTTGCATGAGGGCTCAATGCACATTTTTTTATGCACAGATAGACATCACTTTCTCCTCTGGCCAGTTCACACCATGATTTTTATGTCATCTCAGTTTTTTTCCATGCTGGAAACTGCATACACCTTGCAAATTTCTGTGCAGAAAAAATCAGCACATGATACCAAGATAGGGATAGGATGGCCAAGCTTTTTCCTGACTAAGACACTGCCATCCTATCCCTCGATGCAGAAAAAGCTTTTGACAATTGCAACCTTCAGTGGTTATTTATGGTGTTTCTAGAAGTTTGGGTTTCAGGGGTCGATAACAAACTTCTTCCAGTCAATGTACTCCTCCCCCATGACCTGCTTGCTCACCCCAGGTAATATTTTACACCCCCATTCATCTAAAAAAGGGAACACGCCAGGGTTCCTCATTACTCTTCAATTTGGCTATAGAACCCTTTCCCGACTGCTCAACGCTCACCTCTCCTTACAGGGATCAAAATTGGCAACGTCAACATGTGCGCAGCTCTCTTTGCAGATGACATTTTTATTTCTTTACTCAGCAGTCCCCCCCTTATCTCCCCATCTTTCAAGATCTCTTCTCCACTTTTCAGCAGTGTTCGGATCTGTGTATCAGGTCCACGCTTCCAGTTCCCATGTGATTCTTTCAAAAATCGGAGGAAAATTTAATTGATATAGGGATGAAGGTCCTCTCCCTATTCTGATGCCCAGCTATGTTTTATTGTGGGTGGCTACTTGGAGTGAAGAAGATTTTGCCCATAGCTGGGAGCTGGATGGATTTAGTGGAAAGATTTCTTTTTTGGCAAAGTTCCCTTCTCATCTCGCTCTTCGGAAGATGCCATCTCTATAAGATGGTATCCTTTGCCAGGCTATTATACCCTTTACAGGCACTACTCTTATTTCTCAAACATAAGGATGTCCAAAATCTCAACAAGTCCCTGACAAACTTCCTCTGGTGCTCCAAACGCTCCTATATTGCTCTCTGCAAACTACATCTTCCGAAGAACGATGGGGGTATGGGCTTACCTAATCTGTACTTATACAACTTGGCCTGTCTTCTTAGGCAGGGTATAGACTGGCTGATACATAGGTCTACATTTTCTAACTATGCCCTAGAGGCAGCCCTGGTATATCCTCTCAATCCATCAGTGGTTCTACTCTCACCATTTAAAGTCCTACCCACACATTTGAAAACGAATTTGCTCATTTGAGACACAGTGGTAGCATGTTAGAAATCTGCAGGCTAACTGGTGCCCATCTCCACCATCTCAAACCACCTTCCCATACAGGGAAACCCTTTGTTCCCCCCAGGAATGACTCATGAGGCCTTCATCTACTGGACCTCTAAAGGCGTGTTACCTCTCTACTTCATCATGGATCTGGCAATATTCGCTCCTTTACAGAGATATTCCAACAGTCCCCCCCCCAATCACATTTTTTATTACTTTCAGCTGGTAAACTTCATCAAATCTCTGTTAGGTAGGGGCAGGTTGGAATTGGCACACGCAATGGTGGATACTGCAATAAGACAGAAGCATTATTCTATCTTGTCACTCTCAGATCCTGCAACACAACACCTCCCTGCTGACCTTCTCCCTATTTAAGGGCTGGTCCAA